AAGCTTTGATTAAAGCATTATTTTTGTTAGGGGTGTGCATAGACTATCTTCAGTCATTTTGACTTGAATATTCTGTCCATGTCTAAGCTTGTGTTACGTTTTCCCTTTTTTTTTTTTCCCACAGCAGGGGAGTGACTTGAAGGGGGGGCAGCAGACCCCACGGCAAGGTGGGTGGGCCCCCCTGACCCCTTTAAGGGACGGGACCCGTCCCTACCAACTTTCTAGCCCCCTACCCCCTTCCCCCCCTTTTGTAAGCATTGTACATTAAAATATTGTTTCCCAGTGGTTTCTAAAAGGATAAAGGTTATACTTATGATGAATGTTCATTGTGTTCTTTTTTAAAGATTAAGTTTTAAAAGGTTTTTTTTTTTTTGCATGTTTACAATGTGAAATTTACAATTTTGATTTACTAAGTACAAAGAAAGCATTTCATGTGGGAAAATTTTTGGGGGACTAAAACCCAATGTTTTAACAGATACTTTAAACTAGGCATATGCAACAGAGTTTGGTTTGAAAATTTAAAATCTTTTTTTTTTTATATAATATTTCAACGAGGTAGGTAGTGGTTTGCAGTATTGAATTTTTTAATTTTAGTGAATTTTTAAAGGTTACATATTTATTTTGGTACATTTTACATAAGAGTTTTAAACCATTTTAACTTTTGAAATCTCTTAAAATATTTAGGAATTTTGAGTTGTTGGGTGGTGAAATATATAGTGTTCGTGTGGTTAATTTTGGAGATGAGGTGATTTGTAAAGTAGACCTTGAATTGGTGTGCAGATGCAGACATACACTGCACAAATATTTTTTACATATTTAAATATTCTTGTTCATTGGAATTTGAAAATTTCTCAATTATATAAGGTTAAATGACAACCACATAAAGCTGGCGAGTAGAGAATAGTTAAACTGCAATTAAATTTGAGACTATAGATTCAAATTTTAATTCTCTAGTTCAGTTGTATAAGGTTAAATAATAACTAAATAAAGGCAAAGTTGTTAAATTAAAATTGATATACAGTATAGGAGAGATTAAAGTTCGTTCCTTGACTTTTCAAGCCTCTGCTATTCTGACTGTTCAACCATCCAACCATTTGGTCCAAAAACTATCTTATTGATAAGATCTTTTTAACTTACAGCTGCTTCGTTAGGGCAAACCCCAGTCACCGCTCTCCTCTAAAGTTTAAGTATGTCTGGTGAGGTCCCCTACAGCTTAGCCATGAAGATTAGCATAGTGTTTCAACTTGAATAGTTATTGAAAAGTTTCAAGTAACTATTGTTTTCCCTTATGAAAATATAAGGTTTATTTATATTTGAGTAACATTTAAACTGAAACAACATTCCAGCATAATTCAAATTATGCTGCTTTGGCAGCTAGTTTTCAAATGTTTTTTTTTTTCTAAGTTGTCACTAATATCCACCCCATTAATTTCTAGAATAGGTAAATGAATGTAAAATATATATTTAATTAAATTTTTGACAACTTTTAACTCCCGGGTATATATGGTTTGTTATTTTGTAACTTGTAATTTTTTATAATTACTGTATGTACAAATTCAAGTAAAACAAGAAACTGGACATTTAGGAAAAGAACTATTATATATTAATAGTTGCTCTGTTATGTATAAAGGAAATCCTGTAAATCCATTAGGATTATTTATGTAACCCCTGTCATTATCTATCATCATTATCACAATTACATAAATATTTTTTATTTGTGTGTTTGCTTTGTTTTTGTTTTTATGCAAACTGCTGTAAAGTGATATTGCTCTATGGATCATCTGGTGAATTTCTTGGTAACTGAAGTAGAATAACATGCTATTTTTTTCCTCTGTAAGATTGAGTATTCCCAGGGAGTTACAAGCACTAAGCACTCTACATGGCTAAGTTAGCACTCCAGAAAATGTTTGGATGGTAAACATATCCTTTTATGTGGATTATGTTATATAAAGTACTTCATTTACATTGTACAATAACCATTTTTTTCATATAATTATTTTTGTAAAATAAATTTGGTTAAAAAAATTTGTCAGAATTTTTTTACTCTATCTCATAATCTCTAATTTACTAGATGTTATGTTTAAAATAAATGAATACAGTTCTTTATTGAAATTCTAACTACTTATTTTTATTAAATGTCTGTGCCAGCATAAAGCTGGGTATGATTAAACTGGTGATGATATATAAAAAAAAGGCTGAGGAGACAAAGGTTATTGTTTAAAGTAAACTATGAAATTATGACCTCTGTATATAGCATGATAGTATACTATATCCCCTGAGCTGTATATCTTTTTATAACCATTTTAATGGTAAATGTATGCTATAATTGGGAGATCAAATGAAATACAGCCTTATGGCCTGCCTCTTCAAGGGGGGCTCCTTGGGCGTGGATGAATGAGGCTCTTGGTCTGAGGAATAGCCCTGTCGGTCATTCTTCCTCAGACCGAAAACCTAATATACCCCCCATTCTCCCCTCCCCCTATCCCACCTCCCATATCCTCCCCTTTTTTCCATTCCTCCTCCCCTCCCTCACCCTCTCCCTTTTGCCCTTCCTCTTTTTATAGCCCTCGTGATTTCTCTTCCACAGGCGCGCTAGTTCCTAGGTAGGGAAAGGACAAAAACCGGGGTCGATCCCATTCCGTGAGTTACTTGGCGGTGGCGTAGTTTGCCGTGGAATCTGGATTGCCTAGGATGTCCCGATCCCTCTCCGGTATCCCGGAGTACTTGGGTGTCTTTCTTATGGGCGACGGGTGGTTCTCTGGCAGCCACCTTTTCGGATTCCGGGGTGGTGGCTGAAGGAGGTAAAGCTTGTGACGAATATCCAGGCCGCCTCTCTTTTGTCCACCGAGGTAGCTCGGCAGATGTGAGGTTCCTATCCCCGAATTGCAGTTAACCTGGCATGAAGGGTAGGGTATGCACGGGTTGCATGCTGCATCTTGCGCTACTAGCGGTGTCGGTCCTCTTGGGCGCGGAGGGAAGATTTCCGCCCCCCCCCCCCCTTTTTCATTCCTCCTGGGAACTATTCTTCCTCCCCGCTCCCCCTTTTTTTATTCTTTTTTGTTTTTGTTTTTTAATGTCTTTTCTTCTTTCTTTTTTTTTCTTAAAACATAAAAGCAAAGGAGTAACCTAAAACCAATGGCAGCCCCTAGTCCATAAACCACTACCCCCGGGCCCCTTCTTGATACCCGCAACCCACATGTCCTGACCCTGCCTTGTGTTTAAGACCACTCTTTTCGGACACTCCTGATGCCCCGTACCTCTTGGCTGGGTGCTGTTTCCCTCACCCGCTTCAGGTACCGGGGCTTCGACTGACTACTCCTTCGATTTGTCTGAACTCCGCTCTCCTTTGACTATGGCTTTTCCGGCGTCTTTCCTCCCTCTACGGTACGGCAATTTTTCGAATCGCCCACCCATATCATGTCCGGGACCAACTCCGGTCCTACTCCTAAAACGCCAACGTCAATCTCCTGAGATGCTCCGTCGTTAACCTTCCCATTCACTCGGAAACGACGACACGTCAAGCCCTCCCTCTCAACGCTCATTTCGGAACCACACAATGGACTAAATTCTTTACTTTAAGACCAACTTTCCACCTTCTTCTCCTACAACCTTTCTGACCATAGTATTGCCAAAGGCGCTCCTGCGTCAGTTTGGCATAGATTATTCATTCATTCACGCTCTCAAGAGCGGTAACGCGCATCGTCACTGTCCAGAATGCTACCCAGAGCCTCATATCTTTTCTCTCCTTCGAATATCGATACTACTTCCTATCACTATTGAAAAACATCTTTTCTCTCAATTCTTGTAGTGGTACTGTCATTCTGCCCCATACCATAGTCCAACAGAATTTCAGTCCATGTGCAATGGACATTTTGAAACAGTCTGGACTCCCGGATCTCCCAAAATCCTCAAATAGACACTATATGTCCTTCCTGCCCGGGCGGAGACGTTACCCTTGCAATGTGCTCGATTTAACTTTTGACAGCCGAGAACTCCCGTCCTCTGTAAATGTCCGGCGGGACATCGTTACAAGTTCGAAAGGTGATACCGTACACCGCAACAATGTTAGAAATGCTGGCGTTTTTGTCACCCAGCGAAATAATTGCAGATCTATGGCCGAATGCCAGTCTGTGTTGCCGACAACCATTCTAATACATCTTGCCGTCAACCCCATCTTGGCCTTAAATTGTAATGAACTCACCCTTCATCCGTCCTCACCCGCCAGTTTGCCAGGTCAACTTAAATGAACGTGAAATCCGTGCTCAAAGAGGCAGAAGGTCTCGCCTATGCTATGGCAGTTTACTCATTCCTCCGCCTCCAAAGGGAGACTACCACGTGTTTTTTCTTAGTCTCGTGTTTCCAAACCGTCCCCCCCTTCTGGGTCCCATCGTGCTGCAGCCTTCCTCTGTTGTTACCCCCCTCCCATAGCCACTACGGCATCTAATGCCTTTTGCTGTCCTTGGCTCTGACGTCCCGACTAACAACTCAGTCTGTTGTCACATCTTCGCGTCCTTCCTCACAAGCCCCAGTATCGACAAGACCTCGTACGACACCTAATACCAATCGCCCAATCGCCCCACTATCTCAGAAGACCAAAAAAATCCACATTGCTCTCAATCTTCTTTGGCCCCTATCCTTCCCTTCTCCGCCTCCACACTTTACCTTTCCAGTCTCTGTACCAGTTCTACCTTCTTCCCCTCTCTCTGGCTCTATTACAAGTGTGGAGATTCACCCTCCTCCTCGTAACTATGCCTTCCACCCCCCTCCCCCTCCCAAGTTTTCTCCTCCCTCTTTTGTCACCCTCCCAGGTTTTCTGCCTCTTCTGTCCCCCCCCACACTTCATCTCCATCCCTTACACTTTTCCCCTCCCCTCTACTTTGGTAGCAGTCCATTACTGTCCCAATCTTTACTCATCCTCCTCCTCCAAGTCTCCAATATGGCCTCCCATACATCATTTGAATTCAGAAACACTTGAAGCCATTTCAGAATATATTGCAGAG